GTCTCTCGAAACACAAGAATCTAAGCTTTTTAGTGGGTTTCAAGTGCCTGGTATTTTGATGGAAATTCCTTCCTAGAGACATGGCCTGTCTGACATGTGCTTGACTAGTATAGCTTTTGTTGAATGTTTCTAGACAACACTCACTGTCAACCTCATTTTTACAAGCAAACCCAAATGAAAATGCAGGCTTTGAAAACAGTCAAGAGATGAAGAAGGGCAGAGGGTTAAAGAAGAGCACTGAGAGCTTCAAGCTCAAAACTTTTCTCTAGGGGACTTAGAGAAGCTAACTTTTACAATGACAAAGGTGACATTTTTCTAAGATTTCTAGAGGCTTCTCGGGAAGCCAATTTCCATTTTCATGTCGCTGTAATGACAACTTATTTCATGTTAAATATTTATTGCATCATGATCTGCATGACAATAACAGATCACACTTCTGTCTTCCAACCAGTTCAGATTCCACCTGTATTTCAGAAGCTTCTTCACAGGCGTTAGGGGCACTCCCACCACTTAAACTGCATTTTAATTAACCCATTTAGACAAAGCTCCAAGTTGGTCACATTCTCCCTCCCTTACTGAGGATGCAGGCCACCACCTACTAATTTAACTGCCTAAAATCAGTCTGTTACTGTAGAGAAGTACTAACATGTACTCAGAAAAGTACTGAAGGTCCTTCCAGAGCTGCTAACCACGACAGAAGCAACAAAGCCCACCTGCAATGCCTTGCAGGGACAGCTGCAGGTTACAAAACAACACAAAAGTAGTGAAAAGTTAACACAGAACAATTTACATTGGAAGGGAACTCAAGGCTTCTAGTTCCAGCCCTTGCTCAAAAAAAAAGCTAATTTCAGTTAACACTACACAAGAACAGAGATCCCTCCCCCTTTGAGCACACATTCCAGAGTCTGACCATCCTCATACTGAAGATTTTTTCTTTAGATACAGTTGGAGGGTTATTTGGTGAAGCTGGTGTCTGGTTTGTCTTGTGCTTTTGCTGTGCCTTTGCAAGAAGCACCCGACTTCACCTTTTCTATGTCTCTTATCAACCAGGCAGCTTAAATCAACAGTCAGGTTAGCCCCCTAATCTTCTCTAGGTTACAAACCCAGCTCCCTCAGCCTCTCCTCCTGGCTTTCTGCTGGACCAGCTCCTGCTCATCTATCTACCTACCTACCTGTAACTGCAAAGCCCCACAGTGGACACAGTACTCTAGATGCAGCCTCACATCGACCAAAGCAGATTTGAACAATCACGTTCCTCAACCTGCTGTTGCTAGCAAAGCCCAGTGCATGGTCACCCTTGGCTGCTGGAAGGGCACGCTGCTGACTCGCCTGCCAGCCTGGGCAAAGATGCAAACACCATGCTTCAGTCCAGTGGGTGCCGGGTGGCTCAAGTCCTCCAAGAGAGCCAAGGCCCATGATGATGTTTTCTTCTTGTTGTCTCAGCTCTCTTGCTCACTCTAATGCCCTCCACCTTGCCATCCTCTCTAATCATGACCTGTCAGCTCATGGTCAGCCTGCTCCCCCCTCTGCAGCTAAGCTGTGTGCAGTCAAGCCATACCTAGGCAGAAACACAACCCCTCCACCCTCCCTGCCCAGCCTTCCTAAAGAGCATGCACTACAGCTGCACAATCCCAGTTCTGAGATCCAAGGGAGATCACAGGCCTGCAATGCACAGACTTCTCATTTCACCTGGCTGCCTCTCACCCATGCTGTGTATTCATATGCTCCCGGTCACATGGCTTCCAAACAACCCCATATGTACTACTCCACTCTGTCCCTCCATTTATGTGCTCAAGAAAGCATGTTAATTAACTTATAGCTAAATAAAGCACTGCAAAGGCATTCAAGCCTGCCTACACTAGCTAGCAACAAGTTGGGTTTTTTCCCTGTTTTTAAACAAGCTGCTACTTTAATCGTCATTCAAGACCGATTCATGAGATTCATGTTCTACAAACTTGGAAATTTTACCCTGCTAGTCATTTACTCACCTCAAACTTCCCGAATCTATTACTTTCTGACTCTGCTAGAGACAGGACTGGTTTCTGCAGTGCAGCCCCCATGCAGTATGATATTTAGGAAGATGAGCTCTTAGAACAGAAGATAAAAGCTCAAAACAAGTCTGATCAAGTCCCAAGTCATGTTTGAGTACAGCCTTTAGCTCCTCTGAGACTCCTGCATCTCTTCCATAATGGGACATAGCCTTGTAAGAGGCTCAGCCACAATATGTATAGAGGACTAAAAAGGTGAGCTGGAATCTTCTATTTGTGCTGGTACAAATGTCAGAGAGCCTCCCTTAAAACAGAAAAAAATTTACATATATTGAGCAGGAGCTCCCTCCTTGGGCTAAAAGATAACAAGCACTATTTCACATTGCGCCACATTTCTCAGACTTTCCAGTGGCTTACTGTATTACAGTCAATCATGTTACACAATTAATGTATGTATTTGCACTTCCTGTCTATGCAACTACATTTTAATTTCAAAAATATGCTGACTCTAAGGCACAGAGCAAGAACCTCATGTACTTGCCTTCTGAACACACCACCTGGGAAAAGCAGGGCTGTATCTTGTATACATATGACTGATAATTATTTTTTTAATCATGGAAAACCAGCTAGACATAGGTAGAACCCCAAGTCTTTCAAGACAGGCAAGTCTGAGGAACCTGTGTTTTCTTAATTCTCACTAGGAGCTGTCCCAGTAATCAGATAGTATTTTCTCTGAAGCCTGTGCACTATGTGCATTCATGTTGTTACTGTATTGATGGTTAATAGGGACTGGTGATATAACATTGTGTTCCATTTATCCATAAGTGTTAACAACACATGGCAGGTAACAAACTACTGAAAGAAGTTGATCCACTTAGCTCTAAAAGGTGACTTGCACCACCTACAGGTATTAGCAGAGGGTTACAAGAGACTAACACTTTAAAGTACCTTTGAGACCACTGGAATAAAAGTTTTGTCAAAACACCTCCTGCAGAAGCAAATCAACAGGCTTACTTCAAAACACTGTCACCTACCATCACTTCAACGTAGGTAGCTGAGCCTAGTTTAGTAAGACTTTTGCACTCGTTAGTGCTAAATGGGGTCCTTTTAACATGACACACTTCAAGCTGAAAAATAACCAGCAACTTCCCTTGATGACAAAGGAAATGTAAAGTAACAGCAGTCCAGATACTTCCTTCTTGAACTGCCTACATGTTCTATAGTTTGTAATTCTTAAAACAGCCACAATACATTGAAAACATATAGAAAACAACTTGGCAACCGTGTATCTTTCAAAACATATTTGAATTTGTCAGTATATCTCACCAGTCCCACAGCTTCTCTTATTATGCTTTTTCCTTCAGATTAAAAACAGTCCTAAACACTTTGAAAAGCATTAAGACTGGGAGGATGGCACACCAGCAGCTTATGAGTAAAACACATTGCTTTGATCCCAAGCAAATTCATCAAAGTAGTACTTGAAAGCAAGATGCATTCAGACAAGCTTAGCTACACTGCGGAATAAACTGGAAAAAGTATAAGTACAGTATTTCAGTGTCCATAAGTACAAACTACGTTTAGCAAATTGCGGCCCTGATTATTCTGTGGCTGGGCAAGATACAGGAGGTATCTCTATGGACCTCTTCCAACCTTGTGACACCAACCTTTACAAGCTTCACTAAGAGCTTACCTCCATTTAATTACTCCTCACCTCCTTTAAATATAGCTTTTCCTCAATGTAGTCAACATCAGCCATGCAGAATCCTAACATAAAATGCAGAGATGATCATAACTGTACAAAACAGGTCAAGTTATATTTTCTGTCTGTTACTTAACCTCAGTTTTATACAGAAAACACCATCTCTCTCCCAAACTTGCAGGACTTCTGATGCACGGTATTAAGCAAACAAGCCTAACACAAAAGTTAAGATTTCCAAAGTTTACTTTGATATAAGGAAACTACAAATAGGAGTAAGAACTTTCAAAATCTTAAAACAAACATAACCATAAAATTAAAGCTAGCTGAGATATTAGGATCCAAAATTGACAGACGCAGATGATCCTGGGTACATAATCAGGAACTAATGATGAAAGCTCTTGCAACATACACAAAGAGACAGCATTCAATAAACATGGGGACAAATATTTCAGTGTCACATGAATACCATTTCTATGCGGGCTCTGACCGAGTTACTAGGCATCATTCTGAAAATGATTACAAAAACCAGGAAAAAATTGAAGAGGAGCAGAATAACTCATCTCCAGAAACCCAGAGAGAAAAACTCTTTGCATGGTGTACTTTATACACTTGCATGGTGTATTTTCATGGTGTATTTTATCAAGAGAGAAAATACACAGGGTAGGGATACGGTCTTTGCAGTTTTATCTTCTCAAGGATTGAGTTACCTGTACATTCTTAGCAGAGATTTGCCAGATTCTCTCAGGTTTTATATCAACTGACACTGCTGTCTACTGGTAGGGCAGATGCATGGCCACAGGCAGCAGCACAAAAGAGCAAAGAATAAAAAGACTGTTCATATTTGGGCCACACTCTCTAGGCAAGATATGGTTAGGAGCAACCCACTGCAACCAAAGGTAGTTTTTTTCTGGAAATCAGAAGTCACTACTACTTGTTTTGGTGTTTTGTTGATTTTTTAATTGGTAAACTGGAAGTGACATGAAAATAATATTATATAGACTGAGCATTTGCAGTATCAATAATAGTTACAAAGTGGCTGCTACAGTGCCTTGGCCTGTAGCATAAATCCTTTGACCATCTGAACATATTATACCTCCTCTTTAAAATGCTGTAATTGCAAAAAGCATTTAATCTAACAGTAACCTGTCAATTTGCATCTCAGGGAAAAATATTTTCTGCTGTGCTTAATTACAGTGTGTTACAGGACAGCACATACTATTTCTTGGTTAGAGTATTTTGTGCTTAAAAAGAAGAAGCCTTCTGTAAAATAGTTACCAGCTTATTTAAGTCTATCAAACACATAATACTATTACCTTTCTTCAATTCTATTCTTGTCCATAAGTGGTTGTTTGATCCACTGATTAACTAGTCTCTGTCCTTGAGGAGTTCTGCATTTATTTAGTAAACCAGCTAGAGACTGTGCAGTGTTAGCATTTTCCACAGAACTCTGGGGAAGAAGAAAAGAAAGTCAGTGAAGTTTATTGATATCCAATGAATGGCAGTCTATTTTGCTACCTAGGAAGAGATCAGTGCTTCTTCTGTATTCAAATTGGCACTAATAAAACAGGCAAACGAAACAGCACAGCATTAAAGCATATACACTCTGGCCCTTTGGCAAGCAAGGAATAGGTTTGTCCATTTTGAAACTAATCCTGACCGAACAGGAAAGCTAGAAATGTACCTACTCACTGGGCGGTTTGCCCTTTGAGTAGGAACAGTGGAAATACACCTAGGTATCTGCTGGTTTGCCCTCCATAAAGTCAAAAAATAGGGGTCCTTTCCATCAACAAAAAAAGTAGCAAGAAACAGGACTTGGGTTCAAGGGTTTTGGTTAGAGTTTGTTGGGTAGTCATCTTTACACATCATCTTTGGATTACTGTAAATGTCTCTAAACTTACTCTGTTCAGATTATAGTTTATTATCTGGAACTAAGGTTTAATATTACCTGTACCCAAGACAGTCTTTTGGGTGTTTTTATTGGGGTTTTGTTTGTTTTTCACAAACAGCTAGGAAGTAAAAATTTTGTTTAACACTGAAAAACAGCAAACAAGCTTGTTTCAACTCTTAACTTTGAAATAAAAATCTACACCCTCTCTACCCAAGTACACCTGCAATTAGAACAGCACACAAGCATTCAACCAGGAGTAGGTCTGGATGCCTGTAAACAACTGGGATGTAGAATTAGCATCACCACAACAGGAAATTAATGCAGTGAGAAGGTATACTGACACATTTCACCACTGGAAAATCTAGTATCTAAAGTGGACATGCCTATTTTCAGTGTTCTGGACAGTATTACATACAAAGTTTCTCAATACAAGGACGTGTCACACGAAACAAATAATCTACTTCAGCACATCCAAGTTGGAAGACTAGTTTTATATAAGCCACTGCATCTGCTGCACTATTAGAACTTCACCTACACACCTCAGAACAACTCAAATTACAAAATATTTTGCCTTTGCGTTAGCATCTACCCAAAAACCTCTCCACAGACAGCCTGCCACAGAAGCAACAATGCAGCTTCTTGCTGCAAGGCAAACGTCTTGTTCCAGAGCCCCTAAAGACAGACATAGCAGTGTATTTCCTACCACAAAATGCATAACAACTCTAAGGACTTACAAATGGGTGTAGCTATGACAGTGCTGAGCTTCCTAGAATACCTTCATACAGCCTGAGATGAAATATAATTTTTGCTTTGTTCCCTAGAGAGTGACACAGATCAGGCAAGAAATAAATTAAAAAAAAAAAAAAGTGAGATCTCTCTCCAAGTTTAACTAGCTCAGGTGCTGAATATGTGCTCTTTTTTCCCTCTCCAGAAATTCCTCTAAGGTAAACAGAGTACCATATTTGTGTTTTCTTCCTAAAAATGTGAAACTCAAACAGACCAGCTCCAAGCCAAGGATGACTAAAGCAGGGTTTACTAACATGAAAACAAAAGAGAAAAGCTGATACACCACTCTGAGTCCACATTTTCCTACAAGTATAAAAAGAGGCAAAGCAAAAAAACAGACATGGTAGGAGGGATGTGTGTCAAAAAAAAAAAAAAAAAAAAAAAAAAAACCAGGGGGAATGGTGCACTAATTGGACAGGAAAAAAAAAAAAAAAAAAAAAAAAAAAAAAAGAACCATGGTGCATGGTGTACTAACTGGCCATGTCATTTTTTCAGAATGTTAAGCACTGTCCTGTTCATGGCCCTGCCTGCTGCAGCCAGCCCTCCCTTTCCATTACACTGCTCCTGCCATATGCTTCCTCTTCCCCTAACACTAATTCAGGCTTCTATTCTCTTTTCCAAAAACAACACTACTGTATGAAGCAACTGTTCTCTGGAGCTCCTTATCATACCACAAAACTACAGAACTCTCCTACCCTTCCACACCCCAGGTCTGCTGCCACTGGAGATGTGAACTTCTCTGATGAAGAGCAAGCAAAGACAAAGCATTCCCCCCCCCCACTGCTCACCCAGACTCCTTGGCAGCTACAATCATGAGATCCTTCTACAGCTGTTCTCATATCTGCACTCTACACAGACACTTGCTTGTGACCACTTCCTACCTGCCTAACAATCTTCTCTTCTACATTCAGAGCAAGCTAACAAAACAAAAACAACAAAAAAAACACCAACCAAAAAGTGGTAGCAGTGGCTGTTTAAAACACACACTGTAAGGGAGGAGTGGAAAAAAAAGCTAAAATGTAAAAGTTGCTATTAATCTGGGTCTGGGGAATTGCAACTAGGCAATCAGGCTACTTATCAGGCAACTGCAGGAGTATACTGCAAAGCACTTACCAACTTAAGTGTGCATTTCTTACCTGAAAAAGGTTGAGGGCTTGAACAGCTGCATTATCTAGAACCATATATTGACTAAGATCAAAAGTAGTCAGTTCAAATTGCCCAAAATTAGATTCATCTGACAGCAACTCTAAAAACTTGATAATGGCCGACAAGGACAAAATAGCAACCTGAAGTTTAAAACAAAACAAAACATGCCACATTCTAGTTAGAAACACTGCTGAATCAGGGAGTCTTTGATAAATGCCCCTAGAAAATTACAATCAGGGAAGACTTTGAGCTGTGCCAATTCTGGCAGGGTTATGAAAGACTCATCCTGTTTGACAAGACTTCATTTTCATAGGGACATTCTACAGCAATGCAATGTCTTTCTAGGCAAGTGCAAGAACAACAAACCAGACATTTGCATAATCTGATAACCAAAATGTGAAGGGCACACCTCATCAGCTTTCCGAAGCTGTTATCAGGTCATTTCTGGCTCAGGAACACAAACAAGTTATTGCAGATAAATGAGATGTCATGGATCATCTCAAGACATGGTTTCAGGGTTAGTTTTCAGCCAGAACAAGGATCTGATCTGACTCACTGCATGGTTCTATAAACGCTAGTGCCAGCACAAAAGAGAGGCAGCAGCATGACTGACTTGTTCAGTTGCAACACACTTCAAACAATTTTAACTTGTTACAAAATCACACATTAAGAGAGAATTACTTTGTACCTTACACCTGCAGTGAGCATCAGAAGTGAAGGACATTTTACAGCATGTTTATCTCAAGCAGATTACCTCTTGTTTGCAGCTAAGAACAAACATGTTCAGTTCACATGCAGGCACTAAATCATAGGCTTGAGCCACAAGATGACACAAGCCACAAAAATATTATCATAAACATTACTTTTTCATAGATACAAATTTTCCTGTCATGCAAAATAAAATATTGTACTCCAGTCCTCAGACTTGATAGATGATGAATAGGAAGCGCTTCTTGTGCACAGTCCATTTGCTTACCAGAGCTTACTACTTTGAATACCTAAGTGAAGGATTTTTCTCATTTTTTACCAGGGCCCCTGAAATCCAGCTTTGACACAGACTCATGCTGAGCGGAACTGCTAAATGCTTCATCAAGAATACAGCTTCATATACCATGGGCAGTACAATGTACTTCCCCAGAAGTACAAGAATCCAGCATAAAACAGTACTAGTGAGGATAAAGGAGATCAACTCACAACAGGTCCACACACCACCCTGCTTCTGAAAAAGAGGACCACATGAAACATTACTCTGTGCTCACCTGCTTTTCCATCTCTGGCAATGCTGCACTATTCATTTGTTCTTCTTTTTTTGATTTTAACAAACGATTGAGATCCTGAACAATATCTTTTGTTGTGAAATCTGCCTTCTTCCTGTCTGTAATCAGGATTCCTCCCCTTTGAATGACCTGTTGTCCACAAACACAAACAGACATTGATTACTTTCGATATTCACAGGACAGATGTTCACCACATAGAAGCAAATGCTGAAAAGATAGTCAGTTACTGCTAGGTTGCAGAGAGAAGACTTACAGACAAGATTTTATCCTTAGAATAATTTTTGCTGATTAAAATGCAAGTAAGTCAATACATAGGTCATACATTTTGGACCTTCAAGGTACCATACTGCTCCTTCATTTCTCCACAAATCACGGAGCCCAGCTAACCATAAGCCACAATGGTTCTCTTACTTGTCGTAGCTTTCCCATCTCTCCAGCAGTCTCTCCTCCTGGTAGCACACACTCCTTTGGTCCTAGCTGAACCAGTAGAGCTTCCAGGTTTGAGAACTGATCATTATCTGGAAACTCACAGACACTCAATTTTCTCAGCGTAGTGTCGACATACCCCACTCCTACTATTCTTTGCCCATCAGCAGTAGACAGCTTAACCCCCACAACCCCAATGGCTGTTGACATGTCATTGTTGGCAAAGAGAACTTCCTCAAACTGGGCAAGATTTCCTGGAGATCCCTATTAAGAAAAGAAATATACTTTTAAAGAGGGTGTATATATACACATACTTATTCTTCTTCTTTAAAAAGGACAAATAAATGGCAACACTAAATACTGAACAGTCCATTAATATAATATATAGCTGTTCTAGTTTTTTTTAACCATTAAAATTTTACTTATCATCTACACAAAATTAACTACTTCAGGTTTATTTTATTTCCCAACCTATGGTAAGGATACAGCACAAGCTCTTAAAGCCTTAAAGCAATAGAAGATACAGGGATATATAACAGACTATATGATTTACTATCATAGCACCAACATCAGTCCCTGAATGGGGCTCAGGAAAGTTATGGGCTTTTTTTCTCCTTTCCTATCACAATTATAAAGAAAGGTTGAATACTGCACCTTGTATGCTAAATACCAGTCATTTTCTTTGGTTGATTTACTCCCTGCTTTGTTCTTGTAAACTTCAACTCTGTAATGACGAACCAGAAGCAGATCTCTCACAAAAGATTCAAAGTTCATTTTACTAAGCACAACGCTTTCTAGCTTCTGAGTTCCTACAAAAAAAGGAAAAAAAAACAAAAAAAAACATTATGAGATACTTGAATTTGCTCAGTAAGTTTACTTTCTGTAATCAAAATCTCCAAGAATAGCCTCCAGGAAGGACACTATTCTAATATCAAAGAAGCAAACACATAAAATCTAGGAAACAACACAAAACCAAACATTCAACTGGTTAGTATTAAGAATGAAGAAAATGTACTCCATATCCAAATAAAACCAATGTTTGTTTTCAAATTTCACTAAATCTCTATGTACACATATACAAAAAGATCTGCTACTTTCACCCTTCACCTCTCCTTAGAATATTCTTAACTGTTTTCTAATTGATGTTTCACACACTGTAATCTAATGAGCAGTGGAGGCCTGCTACAGGTTTTCCTTCTGGGAAACACCTTTTCTTTCCTGGATAAGCCACTTCTGTTGACAAAACAGACTGTCAGCCTAGTCGCACTCAGGAGATACAAACACACACATGCCAGGGTATTTCTCTCCATGACAACATACACTCTAAAACCCACATATTCTCAACAAAGTTTAAGTTTACATTAAAACCTGATTTAGAAAGTGCCTAACTGACAAACTTCTTGCTTGTGTTGCTATAAAGGTGCAGGCAGATGATACAGCTGAACAAATTTAATTCCCTCCAGCTGCTAAGAGCAGCAACACTACTCCTACCTTCTGCATCACCTCTGACACCAGCCTACTCACAGAGTAAGATAACTCCACTACTACACAAATTGGGGTTTCAGGTGCATATATTAACTTCCTGAAATCATCCTTTTAGTTAGATATGCTAGGTAAGGATTTAAAAGGTTTAAACCAGAGGTGACAGTCATAGGCTTACATCTGTGAAATGATCACTTTTAAATGGAATACAAAAGTAATACTGATGCATGGGTTCCTAGTCCAAAAGACATATCAAATTCTACACTTGAAACTATCAAGCTCAACAGTTTCTACACAAGTTGGATTTTGTGAGGGTTTTTTTGTGGGTTTGGGAGGGGCTGGGTCTTTGTGGGTTTTGTTTCTGTTTTAATTTTACATACTAGCTCATCACTTGCAATAGAAAAAGAAAAGCATCTGAGAATGCCATTCTTTTTTCAACGCCATTGCACACACACACAAGAAATCATTCATAGAATCATTTTGGTTGAAAGCGACCTTTAAGATCATCAAGTCCAACCATGAAACCAGCACTGCCAAGTCCACCACTAAAGCATGTCCCTAAGCACCACGTCTACACATCTCTTAAACGCCTCCAGGGATGGTGACTCCACCACTTCCCTGGGCAGTTGTTCCAATGCTTTACAACTCTTTTGGGGAAGCCATTTTTCCTAATGCCCAATCTAAACCTCCCCTGGCACAACTTGAGGCTGTTTCCTCTTGTCCTATTGCTTATTACTTGGGAGCAGAGACCTTGCTACAATGTTCTTTTGGGTAGAAGGATCTCCCCTATGCCTGCTTTTCTCCAAGCTAAACAACCCCAGTTTCCTCATAAGACTTGTGCTCTAGACCCTTCACCAGCTTCGTTGCCCTTCTTTGGATGCACTCCAGCATCTTGATGTCTTTCTTGTAATGAGGGGCCCAAAACTGTATATGGCATTCGAGGTGTGGCCTCACTGCTACAGGGGAACCATCACTGCTGGCCACCCCTTCTTGGCCACCTGGGCACACTGCTGGCTTGTATTCAGTTGACTGTCAATCAACAACCCCAGGTCCCTCTCTGTTGGTGAGATTTCCAGCCACTCTTCCCCAGACTTCACATATTGTCTAGGGTTGTTGTGACACAAGTGCAGGACCCACAACACGGCCCTGTTGAACCTCATCCCACCAGCCTTGGCCCATCAATCCAGCCTGTCCAGATCCCTCTGAGAAGCTTCCTGCCCTCAGGCAGATCAACATACCAGCCTAACTTGTTGTTGTCCACAAACTTACTGAGAGTGCACTTGATCCCCTCATCCAGATCATTGATATTAAACAGAACCGGCACCAAAACTGAGTCCTGGGGAACACCACTTGTGACCAGCCACCAACTGGATTTAAACTCCATTCACCACCACTCTCTGGGCCTGGCCATCCAGCCAATTCTTTACCCAGGGAAGCACATGCCCATCCAAGCCATGAGCAGCCAGTTTCTCCAGGAGGATGCTGCAGGAAACAGTATCAAATGCTTTACTGAAGTTCAGGTGGACAACATCCACAGCCAAATAGGTTTATTTTGTGAAGTATGAGCCAATAACTTTCCAACATCATGTTTCTTGAGATTAATGCTAATACTAAGGTTTGTCCCCTCTGACAAGGTAATATATCTCAATGCTCTTACACCTGACATCTGCAAGCTCCATCATCTGAGACCAAGAGATAAATAAAAAGCAACAGGGGGTGAATGGAAGGGAAAAACTTATGCAATACATAACTAAACATTATTTACTTCTGTAGGCCATTAGTCATATGTGATGTTCCACTGTCTACCTGCCCTATAGAACCGTAGGGAGTTCTCAGCTATCACAGAAAATACCATGCAATCATTTTCACAAATGAAAATCTACCAAGACCCTGGAAAGACGTTACCAACTGCTGTTAGCCTGGGCAACGTGTTGCGTTCAGCGACCCACATCTGACAGCCTGTAGCTCGAGCCCGTGTGACACAGACAGGCTCAGAACCGCAGATACCTCCCTACGCTTGTGAAAAAAACCCCCCCCTTGTCCCCCTCCCCCTGCCACAGGCATCCCGCTCAGAAAGGCTACTGATGACCACTTCAAAGCTGCGAGAGGCAGAAGGAGGAAGGTTTGGAGGAAGGTTTGCATTCAGTCCCACTCGCTCCCAAGCCGCAAGGAGCCAGGGCCGGCATTACAACCCAGGGAGCTCTCCGCAGCGCCCTGCCCACGCCCAGCCCCCCAGCGGGGGGCAGCGGGGCTCGCTCAGCGACCCG